AAATAGAATGGAATAGTAAAGGAGAAAAGATAAAATTATTTTGTACAAAACGTGCCACACAAATGTTCCTGCTCTCATTATATTGGAGCTGTAAAAAGGCTTGGAACCGAAAATATTGAAAACTTCCACTGTGCCAAGAACTCAGTTAAAATGTTTCACAGCCCAGTGTGAAATAACTGAGGGAAGCCATTTGAGAAGCATTCTTAATTTTGCATGTTATGTATTACATATATGCTTTTTAATTTCAAAATTCCCTATGCCTTTTCTTCAATTTTCCTTGACTTGATCTACTTTTTTTCTTTTTACTCTTTTAAAACTTTTGCACTAAAATGTAAAAGGAATACTTTCATAAACAAAATTACGAGTTGCTACAGAATTGATTTTGAGAGTCTTCATTTAAAGACTAGTGGAAAATGAACAAAGTTCACCCTTCTAGAGTAAAGTAATTCTGTTACATTCAGGCTGTTCATCATGCTTCTTTGATATCCTGAATGTGCCTTGCAAGTAACAATTAAACTTTATGTTGCTGCTTAGGAAAGATGAAATTGGGATATGGAGGCAGGGAAAGATCTGAGCAAAAGAATATGACTTTCTAGGTGACATCAGCTATGCTTAGCCAATTTGAACAAGAGCTATTGCTCTGTTGGGAGGCAAGATGCTTTGGTTTGGTCTCATAATTATTTTAAACTAAAAGCTATTGATTTCCATCTTATTGCTGTAAAATGAAAAGATGACTTTTTCTCTTAAGAATACACATATTTAGGCATTTGGTGTCTAGGAATAAAAAAGAATACACATATTTACAAAATGACCGGTCAGTATTTATGAACTTTTTGTGCTAAAATTATGGACAGGTTTTTTTGTTTTGTTTTGTAAACCACCCTAAAAGGAAAACTTAGAAAATGAAAGTTATTCTTTATTCCTGTATCTATAAAAATTCAGGGATATGGTGGTATTAAACTATGGTATCTTAAAAACTCCAAGAATCATTAGAATGAGCCCTTCTTTCTCTGTTGGAGTTTATCCTTTCCATTCTTGAAGATCAGGAGAAAACAGAATGAAATACTTTTTTTTAATCAGAAATCTTTTTGTTTTCAGACCAGAAGGGACACCCTTTGAAGATGGTAAGTCAGTTTTACTGTTTTCTATAGCATTTAAGGTGTTGTTTTTTTTTTTT